AGATCATGTAAGGATTAATAGACTACTGGAAGGACTTTGACTTTGACTCAAAACTGTGTGAGAACCAACCTGAGTGTTTTGAGCAAAAGAATAACACCCCTCACTTACCTAGTGGTGGTTTTGACAGGGACAGTAGAAATAATTGTGAAAACACACATATATACATATATATTTAAAAGTTTATTATTTATGTGTATGTATGTGTAGCTGTGCATGTGCCCAAAGAGGTCAGAGAGGTGTTAGCTCCCTGAAGCTGGAATTTCAGGTAGTTGTGAGCCACCTGATGTGGGTGCCAGCAATCAAAGTCAGGTTCTTTGCAAGAACAATATGTGCTCTTAACCACTGAGCCATTTCTCCAGCCCCTAAATCTATTAAACTAACAGCAGATTAAAGTTGGAGGGTATAAAAGGGCTAGTTTGAAAAGACTCTCTGTAGAAGATTGCCCAGAGGAGGAACATAAGAAGGACCTAGTGACTGTGTATCCTGTGTTAGCCCCACTAACCTCATGGCCTCCAAGTGAAGGGCAAGTAGTAAGGTTTATGGCAGAAATTCTCAATCAGTAATCCATCAGTTAAATATCTCATTAATAGTTCTGTTTTGTTTACGGTGTTTTAAATTTTTGAAAACTAGTTATCAGTACTTAAATTTTTGACAAAAATAAATTCCACACCCTTACAAATAACAACATTGAGCCATTAAACGAAATTGAACAGGAACTAAATTTAGGTACTGGATGCCAAAGCATGTATTGTGTTTTCTAGTTGATTTCTCTATTGTTGCCCCTAAACTGAGCTAAATATAGTTTTACAGATATTGTTGCTCTCATATAGAAAAGCTAAGAGGAAAAAAACAATCTCCTGTCTCTGTCAAATTTTAGTTATGTGATCTACTTCACTCATTTGCCTGGACATGATTAATTTTTTCCCATCATGCTGAGAATTGAACCCAGGACCTTGCACTGAGCTACATCTCAAGCCCAGTCCTTGTTAATTTTTGATCTTGCAATTCCCCTGTGGAAGAAAGAGGACTGAACTCTGAATCCTTGTACCTGTTCTTCTGCAAACCACCCTTTGATCCCAATCATAGCAAACAGTCTCTTGGAATCTCAGAGTTAGACCAAATTAACTGTTCTGTAAAAGTTCAAGAATCCTAGTGGGCTTTGTATCTTGAAAAGGCCAGTTTTTGTCCCTTCCCCCTTCTAACTAGCCAGGGTCCCCAGCCTGGTGTCTGTGACAGAGAAAGAAGACACTGGAATGAGTAATGTACCTATATCAATAATATATAGCTTGCGCACATAGCCAAAGAGAGGAACACTGTGTGTGTGTGTGTGTGTGTGTGTGTGTGTGTGTGTGTGTGTGTGTGTGTGTGTGTATAGGTGGGTTCAAGTAAGCTGTGCATATATAAGCTGTGCACATCTGTTCCTATTCATCATCCATATATCAATCTTTATTTTCAGTGCTAGAGATACAGCAGTGAACAAGACATGCTAGGTCTCTGCTCTAATGAGGCCTATATTCCTGTAAAGGATATGAATAAGAACAAGCAGGTAAAATAAGTGAGATTATTTCAAATAATGGAAAGTTTTATTAAAAAATAAAAGCAGAATGATTTGATTATAAGTTTCTAAAAAGGCAAGCTGTGCATCTAGGGGGTGTGTAAATGTACTTTCAGGCAGACTCATGTTTGAATTCTGGGTACATACATTTATGCTTATTTGTGTTCATGTGTGTAGCTCAGCAGCTATTGTGAGTAGAATATTTCTGTATTAGTATATATGGCTTTATTCAAGTGTATATACAGAGGTGAGCTGGTACGGGGTACACACTGGGGGTGCATGCATGAGGACACACATAGCAGCTGTAGCTGGAAATGTTTTGAAGTTTCTGTAGCATTTGTCAGTGGGCAGCTTTTCTGCTTCTGGCATTCAGGGACATTTGCCAGCTTCCTCTCTCCTTGTTCTGTCCCGTTTTAGTAACCTTGCTATGCTTGGCTTCTCTCAGCCCTAGGAGGGTTAAAGCCAAGGAGAAGATAGTAACTGACTCATCAAGCCAGAAGCTGGAAAGAAGCTGATAATTTCTGTGTAACTTCTCTCAGTAAGAAAAGGCCTGATATCCTTGCCAGTCCAGTCCCTTACACTGTGAGCAAAATAGTCCTGACTTGAAATCAGAAGATCTGAGGATCTATTCTTGGCTCTGTCACTTATTATTGTGTGACCTTGGCTGGCTAGGTCTCTCTAGGTTTCAGTTTCCTCCTTCATAAACACCCTGGATAGTAAAGAAGAGGGGGAGCACAGACGGCTTGTTGGGGTATTATATAGTATTGCATCTGGAGGAGGAGAGCAGAAGCAATGGTATGGTAAGACGTGTGGGAGAGGTGAGCAGGCTCAGCACCAAGCCTGATGACCTGGGACCCACATGGTGGAAGGGTGGGACCAACTCCTCCTGGCTGTCCTGTAACCTCCACATATGTGCCATGGTATGCATCCTTCCAAACAAACAAGCACAAAATTTAAAGTGAAATTTTAAATGTAGAGGTAGGCATGAACTTTGTGTATCAGGGAAGCCAGAAAGAATACCACTTAGAATAAAATTTAAACTTACCACTCCCACAAGGGCCTACCTGATTTGACTGATGCCTAGCTCTTGTTCTCATTTGATCTTTTGCTCACTGTATTCCAACCACATTGAGTTCCTTTCTGCTCTTTGAATAGGCCTCAAGACCTTTACGTTTGATGCTTTCTCTGCCCAGAATAGTCTTCTCAAGAACTGATATGGTTACCTATTTCTTACCAAGGTCTTAGCTGAAATAGCATTTCCCTAGGCTTTCCCTGACACTCTTATCTAAAGTGGTTTTCTCCTAATAGTTATCAGTATATAAAATGCACATATCTTTGGCCCCAAAATTGCATTTCTAGTAATTCATACTATGGATATATTTGCAAATGATATATGAATAAAGATGACCATTGAATTATTATTTGTTAAATATACAAATAGTAGATAAAGAGAATGGAACCATTCTTTTTTTAAAAAAATATTTATTTATTATGCATACGTGTTCTGCCTGTATGTATGCCTGCAGGCCAGAAGAGGGCACCAGCTCTCATTACAGATGGTTGTGAGCCACCATGTGGGTGCTGGGAATTGAACTCAGAATCTTTGGAAGAGTAGCCAGTGCTCTTAACCACTGTGCCATCTCTCCAGCCCCAGAACCATTCTTGATAGAGAATAATGCCAAAGGATATGTTTAAATTTTTAAAAAGCAAGCTGATTGAGTTATACATTTTTGTTGTTGTTGTTTTGTTTTTTTAATTTTTTGAGACAGGGTTTCTCTGTGTAGCTTTGCTCCTGGATCTCACTCTGTAGACCAGGCTGGCCTTGAACTCACAAAGATCCGCCTGCCTCTGACTCCCGAGTGCTGGGATTTAAAGGTGTGCACCACCACCGCCTGGCTGAGTTAAACATGTAACATTTGTTCAGTTTATTGCTTGTATATAGTAACTAAAGGCTAAAATTTTACCTCAGTGGTAGAACATTTGCCTGGCATGCCTGAGGCTCTGGTTTACATTCCTATCATCACACACACACACACACACACACACACACACACACACACACACACACCTACACCTGCTTGGCCTATAATAGGAGCCCTCAGGAAGCTCAGACAAGAGGATTGTGATCTTGAGGTGAGCCTAGGCTGCATAGCTATACTCAAAAAGAAGCCATAATTAAAATGCCATCATTTGTGTAGAAAATTAGAATATGTCAGAATACATGCACATAGACAACTTTGTCTAACAATTGTGTTTCCTGAATACAGCATTGTTTCCTAAACTCTACTACCCCATGCTGGTCTAGACTGTGAGGAGCTTATCCCTTAAGACATGTCTAATATTTTAAATTCAGTTTTTAAATTTCTGCCTCCATTGGTATCCTAAGGATCTTATGAATGATGCTAAAAGTATAGACTTCTTTCCAACACTCTAAGTAGCCAGAGACGACTTTGAATGCTTGATCCTTCTGCGTTTACCTCCAAGTACTGAGACTGCACATGACTAGAAATTTTTATGGGTTTTTTTTTGTTGTTGTTTGTTTTTGTTTTTGTTTTAGACAGGGGCTCATACTATAGCTATGGCTTGCCTAGAACTTACTATGAAACCCAGGTTGGCCCAAACTTGAGGCAGTTCAACTTGAGAACTTCCTACCATAGTCTCCTGGGTAGTGATATTATAGGAGTGAGTCATTACATTAGGCTTTAATTTAGTCTTGATACTTTATAAAAGTCATATATTGCTGGATCTGATGGCACACATCTTTAATCCCAGTAGTCAGGAAGCAGAGACAGGCAGTGAGTTCTAGGCTAGCTTGGTTGGTCTACATAGTGAGTTCCAGGCATGAGACCCTGTCTCAATAATAGCAACAACAACTACCAGGCACATCTGTTGTGTCATTTTCCCTTAATACTACCCTAGGATAAAAGAGAAGGGCTTGTCACTCCATTTTGTCAACATAAATAAGACTCAGAGGTAGATAGTGTATGTTCCAGTCTCATAAAACATGCATACAAAGTATCTTGAGAGGCCAAAGTGTCTGTTCAGTCAGCTCAGGATGTGGTATCAAGGGACTGGAGTGATGGCTCAGCAGTTAAGAGCACTGGCTACTTTTCTCGAGTATCTGCATTCAATTCCTAGCATCCACATGGCAGCTCACAACCATCAATAGCCCCAGTTCCAGGAGATCCAATGCCTTCTTCTGACCTCTGATGCAATAGGCTTGCAAGTGGTACACAGACATACATTCCAGGAAAACAGTCATACACATAGAAATTTTGAATTAGTTAATTAGAAAAAATTTTAGAAAGATATAGCAGAAGATTCACTGACAGGAGAGCGTGAGGCATTGGTATGAGCAGATGGAATTTTGTGACTGCTCCTGTCTTGTTTATGAGATCAGAGCTGTGTCCCTAATTCCTGATTCTTTCTGATGTATCTCTCTCAGGGAGGGCAATGAGCCCGGGGAGACCACCAAGATCACATACCGTGAACTTCTGGTCCAAGTGTGTCAGTTCAGCAATGTTCTCCGTAAACAGGGTGAGTATGGGGTGCAGGAGAGGAACTACAGGACCTAACCCTGAGCTCTCTGAGGAACTGGAGAGAAAGAGAACAAGAAATGGAGGGAGTCTGGTATCCGGAACAGAATAGTTAGCTGGGAGGGGCCCTCTGAGTGGGTGGGAGCAAGGAATAGCAAGAAAGGTCCATAGTTCCTGTTCGGTGTCCTTTTTGTCTATAGGCATTCAGAAGGGTGACCGAGTGGCCATCTACATGCCTATGACCTTGGAACTCGTGGTGGCTATGCTGGCGTGCGCTCGCCTTGGAGCTTTGCACTCCATTGTGGTAGGAGCGTGGGCTGGCGATGGGAGCCAAGGGTGAGGGGCAGGGTTCTGGTAAAGGAAATTGGACCTGGATGGTGAGGGACTGTAAATACAGGTCTAAGTCAGTTTTTCAGCATCTTCTGGAACCCTGTTTTGGAGATGCTAAATTTCACGAGCACCTTCCATCCTTCATCACTCAATCCCTAGCCCTCGCCTTCCCCTCAGGTTGTTTTTGTTTTGTTTTTCTAGTTCGCAGGCTTCTCTGCAGAGTCTCTCTGTGAAAGGATCTTGGATTCCAGTTGCAGCCTTCTCATCACCACAGGTGACTAATTCTCTCACCCCTTCTTCAGACCCTCCTACACCTCAAATCCAGGCTCCTTGTTGACTTGGGGGTACTTAGGATGGAGGGTAGGGACTCTTCGCCTGCCTTCTCCTCATCCTATCTCAGCTGACTCTTTGTCAGCCCAAATCATCTGGAAGAACCAGAGTCAAGAGGCCTATTCAGGAAGGGCCCTGTGGACATTAGACCCACTGGGGAGCATGGTGTGTACTAAGGCCTGGAATGTTTATTGCTCCCCAAAGATGCCTTCTACAGGGGGGAGAAGCTTGTAAACCTGAAGGAGCTGGCTGATGAGTCCCTGGAGAAGTGTCGAGAGAAGTAAGTGTGCTGACCTATTGGCTACTGACTTGGGTTGACAGGATCTTTCTCCATTGCCAGCCTCCCTTTGTCCTTGCTGTCTACTCCTAGAGGGGCGTGGGAACATCTTGCCAACTTCTTTTAGTCCACTGGACCAATACTTCAGCCTTTCCTTTTCTCTAGGGGTTTCCCAGTGAGATGCTGCATTGTGGTCAAACATCTGGGGCGGGCAGAGCTGGGCAAGAATGACTCCCCCAGCCAGTCTCCCCCAGTTAAGAGGCCATGTCCAGATGTGCAGGTGAGTCTGACACTACTGTACTCTGCTGTGGGCTCTAATTCCCTCTCTCTTCTTACCCAAGGAGTTCCTATTTTTTCCCTTGGCTTCCTCATCATAATACTGAGATCTGGGAACAATTCCAGGAAAGCTTCCTCTAATAGGGCTGGCTGAGAGCAAGGGGTTTTGACCTTGAATATGGTAGAGAAGGAACTTAGCATGAAAAACTGTGAAGGTTGATAAACAGAGGGGACCCTTAGGGCTTAGGCTTAGGCTTGGGTTGGAAATGTGCTGACTTGGTTGACTATATATATTCATTTTGATTGGACTGAGACTTGAATGAGCTACATTTGTGGCTTTGGAGCCATCCTTCTGCTGAAAGCTTTAGGAAAGTTCCGTTGACAGCCTACAGTTTGGAGGGGCATAGATATATAAATTCTGGGGTCCAAAAGGATAGAGGATTACTTAGATTCTTTGATTTGAAGTATCCTGAGTAGTGTTGGAACTAGAGAGGCTAGTATGGGACTAGGGAGATTGGGAAGCCCAATCAGTATTAGAAATACTGTACACAATAGGGGTTAGGAAATTGAGGCTGAGGGGACTAGTGAGGGGCAGCTGGGAAGAAAGAAGGCATCGAGGGGGTTTAGGGAACACTCACCCTGCCCTCTCTCACCTCTATCTATGGACCCTGCTCATCAGCCTTTCCATTCCATGGGCTCTTAACAGGGTAAGCTGAAAGAGAAATCCAAGTGCATCTGACCCCAGGTATCCACTTCTTCACTGCCCTTGGTCACTGCTTCCCTGTGTGCTTGTCTGTCTGTTCATCTGCTCTCTGTCTGTTTGCTCCAGTGAGATTATTGACAGAGCTAAGTCTGTTCCCTTCGTTCCTGGGCCCCTTGACATCCATGTTATTCAGAAGGGTTATAAAATCAAATGTCTGTTTCTGCCTCTGTCAACTCACATATAACAAGGATCTCCAAGTTAGCAACAGACTTCCTAGTTCACTCCTGCTGCATAGGTCCTTTGTGGGAGAGGGGATTAGATAATCTGTGAGAAAGCATATGCTGTGCATTTAGCTGGGGGGGTGGGGGTAGAGCCAGGAAAGACAGGAAGCATATGGAGGAGGTACAAACTCTGATCTTGAGATTTTACCATCAAGTTGGGAAGTTAGATCTATAATGTAAAAGGAAAAATAAGTTTTGTATGGGACAACAGAGAAGAAATTCCTAAATACATTTATATGCAACTTGAAGTTTATAAACCATATATAACTCTGACATAATTAAGTACTAAATTCAACAAAAGTCACACTGTAGGTGGTACTCAAATCTTATTAGTATGTAGCAGTGGTTTGGAGTCCAGGGGCCAATATTTAGTTGTATGACTTCAAATAAGTCATGTCTCCTCTCTGTACTTCACTTTTTAAAGAATCAGTAATAAAGACATGATATATGATTAAACCAAATAGTTTCCATCCCTAAACCAAATTCAAAGGCCACTGTTCCTGTGAGCTCCACCATCTTCACAGGTTACTCTGACTCTTCACGGCCGACCTCTTGTGCTGGTGGCACATATGAGTATGTGGACACAGACCTGACTTCTGGGAAATGTTTTCCTTATGAAATTTAGTCAGCACTGAGTATGGGAATGCTCGTCTTTTATTCCTACACTGGGGAGACAGAGTCAAGGATCCCTGTGAGTTCAAGACTAGACTGATCTACATAGGACATGATCCCTACATTTCCAGGCCAGCCAGGGCTGCATAGTGAGACCCTGCCAAAAAAGGGGGGGAAAAAAGAAGAAGAAAAGAAAAAAGGAAGGAAGGAAGAAAACAACAAAAAACCAAAAACTAAATGAAACTTCTTTTGAAAGAGGTACCAAACTTGGTGGTTTGGGATGTAGGCTCTGCAGCCAGACCACCTGGGTTCAGATCCTATCTATCCCCCCTGCTACAATGTAAGCTTGCTTGCTTCACTTTCTCTCTGTATTAGGTAAAGACAGTAACTGTACTTACAGGATTTTATCAGTATATATGGTATTTGGCATGTAGTAACTATTCAAAATATATTAGATGTTGTCACCGCCCTTAAAAACATCAGACAGACTGTCAATTTCCAGGAGGAAGACTGAGATAAACAAACAAACAAACAAATAAAAACAATAATATTTATTGTAATTCAGCCTCAAGCAGCAAACTCCTGGGTTTTGTTGTTTGGAGATGAAAGTAAAATCAATTAAAAAACGAAACAAAACAAAATCAAAACCAAGCAAGCAAAGAAAATTAAATTAGTCTCACAGAGTTCGGGTTTGTTGTGTGAAAACTGTAGTAGAAGCTGTAGGAACCATGGCAGGTCTCCAGGCTCCTGCCTTGTTATGCAGTCTTCAAAGAAGGGCCTGGTACGTTTTGCAGGTGTCCTTTCCGACCAGACCACTTACATACTCCATATCCCCTTACATACTCCACGACTGTTCTGGTCCAAGGGCAAGAGCCAACTCCTCAGTTTTTATTTTAGAAAACATAACCCCTTTCCTTTTTCAAGGCCATGGGCCTCATAGGTACACATGAAATCCACAAGCAATGTTTGTTTCACTAACAGCTCATTCTGCTCCCCGGTGCTCACTGTCAGCTCCACACCTGGAGTACCACACCTATTCCACTCCTCCCTACACACACAAACACCTACAAAGGAAACAGTGTATAAAAGTTCTCTCATTGCCAGACCACAGTGTAACTGTGTCTTACCACGACAATTCAATGTACTATAGACCATTTATAAAGAATATGTCAGCAAAGAATATTGGCATAGTTCCACTTAAAATCATTAATACCCTCAGCTCAAGTAATAATTTAACAGGAAAAAAGTATCCACGTGACAGTGTACACATAAACTCATACAGATCAGATCTCCCACCAAAAGACAGGGTACTTTATGTTCTCTTGCTGGGACAGCTTGTCTGTTTTCCTCCTACTGCCCACCACACCTAAGACAGGGTTTCACTGTATAGCCACAGCTGACCTGGAACTCCCTATGCAGACCAGGCTGACCTTGAATTCAACATGCCTCTGGCTCCTGAGTGCTGAAATTAAAGGCATATGCCACCCTACCCAACCTCTTATTTTTAATGACACCCTCACTTAGATCATTTTTATAATGCTCATATTCTCTTGAGTAAAGGGCAGGTTAATTCAGAAAAACAGGAGTGGTTAGAGAATCATTTTCCAATTTATCAAGATATATATCTGACACTTTGGGATTAAAAAAAACACAAATATTCACATAACAAATTAGTATATGCCTATGTATTAGAGAAAGGAATTTATTTAACATTGCTATATCTACCAGTCAACCAGGTTCATTGAACATTCAGGAATTTAATAGAAGCAGACATAATGGCATGTACTTGTCATACGGAAGCTGAGACTGGAGAACTGTAGTTGGAAGCAACCCTAAAATCTCATCTCAAAATGCAACAAAAATAATTTACTGACTATGAAAGGGCTTTAAGATAGCCAAAGCAAACCCCAAACATTCCTCACCATCTTAACCTTTCCCCAGGGGTCATTAAACTTCCCTCACCTTTCTGACATTAGTTAGTCCCTCTCTGCCGCAACAATCAAAGGCCTGCTGTTATTAGACGGCATCTTTCTCTGTTGACATTTATAAAATCCTGTCTGACCTTTAGGGCAAAGGGAACTTTCCTTGTTTAAAGCCCCTTAAGGGGCTAGAGAAATGGCAGAGCATTAAGAGCACTTGCCACTCTGGAGGGGAGTGGGGCTCCCACCACTCACATCAAAGGGCTCACAACCACCTGGAACCCCAGGTCCAGGGGAACCAAAGCCCTTATCTGGCCTCCACAGGCACCTGCATTCACATGGCACAGAAACATACATTCACGTCCACACACACACACACATGCACATCAATAAAAAAAGAAAAAGTCAGGCATGGTGGCGCAAGCCTTTAATCTCAGCACTTGGGAGGCAGAGGCAGGTACATCTTTGTGAGTTCAAGGCCAGCCTGGTCTACAGAGTGAGTTCCAGGACAGCCAGAGCTGTTACACAGAGAAACTCTTTCTTGGAAAACCAAAAAGGAGGAAGGAAGGAAGGAAGGAAGGAAGGGAGGGAGGGAGGGAGGGAGGGAGGGAGGGAGGGAGGGAGAGAAAGATGAGTGACTTCCATGGTCATATGGCAAGAAGATGGAACTCCAGAGTAATTTTAGAGACATCTAGAGAATCCAACTTCACCAACAGAATTTAGACTGGAAAAACTAGTTTTCAAAGAGGTAGCATAGCCAGGAAAAGAACATGGTTTCAAAGGAGAGGTGAGAGAAACTTCAGGGTAGCAGATCCTGAATCATCAAAGGCAATCCAGGATAGCAGGACATCCCTTCCCTGAGAGGAATTCACCTTGGTGCTTCTCTACCAACTTGAAACAAGACTTCCTGCTGAATGGAGGCTCCTAAAGTAGGGGCTGCTGTGGGAAACCTTATTGGTTCCATTTCTATAAAGATACAAGAGAAACTTCAGAACGGGATGGGATCCAAACACATAGGAAAAAAAAAATTCCTGGATGCAAATTGTTGGGTTCTCTTGCTGTTAACTAACAGGTTAAGTGCTCACCTGTAGGCAGTGACTAATGTTGTTTTCCCAGTTGTGTGGTTGTCTACATCCCTGCTCATGTGCCACCAGTCCTACAGCACATATGTGTGTATTCGGGCTGTGTATGCATAGTTACTTATCCAACAAAAATGTCTTCTGAGTATCATATACAGTACTAGGTGCTAAGGCTCTGGGGGGAATATGCCACTGCCCTCCTAGAGGGCCCTATCTAGTTGGGGGAGATAATAATCAAGAAAACAAAGTAATTGGAAATATGTGTTGTAAGGGAAAGGAACCAAGTGTTGTGGTGGGATGGGAGTCTCAGATACTGTTCAGGGACAGTCTTTCTAAGAAGGTGGTATTTCAGCTGAGTGCTGAAGGGATGAAGAGCCAGGAAAGTGGCGTTCCTCAGAGTAAAGGCGGGTAAGGGGGTTCTGGGGTAGAGCAGAGAGAATGGCAGAGAAAGTCTGTTCTCTCTGCTCCACTGTACCCTTGAGGGGCCCCCTTCTTTTCCTGTACCCCTAGATGCAGGTGCCAGGTAGGAGTGTCTCCTGCCTCTGCCTGAACTTCTTACAGTTCTTCCCTGCCTATTCCTGCTTTCCTCTTCAGATCTCCTGGAATGAAGGCGTTGACTTATGGTGGCATGAACTCATGCAAGAGGCAGGGGATGAGTTTGAGCCTGAATGGTGTGATGCTGAGGACCCACTCTTCATCTTGTATACCAGTGGCTCCACAGGCAAACCCAAGGCAAGTGTGTGTGTGTGTGTGTGTGTGTGTGTGTGTGTGTAAGGGTGAAGAGTGAGTTTCTGGGGAAGCTTGGAATGACCAACAGAAATTATTAGATGGAGTACTAGGAATGTAAGTGGTCGATATATTTATGTGATATCACAGTGTGATAAAGGATGTGGAAGAGAGACAAATGCTATGAAAGGGCATCATAGGGTTAAAATCTTTAAGAAGGATCTTCTTCCACCTCTGTTCAGGCTCCATTTGTTGGTCAGTAGAGGTGGACACAAAACCCCAGCCTGAGGCCCCATTTTCTCCCCACAGGGTGTGGTGCACACAATTGGAGGCTACATGCTCTATGTGGCTACAACTTTCAAGTATGTGTTTGATTTCCACCCGGAGGATGTGTTCTGGTGTACAGCAGACATTGGCTGGATCACTGGTCATTCCTATGTCACCTATGGGCCACTGGCCAATGGTGCCACCAGTGTTTTGGTGAGATGGGAGCTGGGACATGGACAAAATTCTTCTTGGTGACTACCACCAAGGCTCCTTAAGTCTAAAGATGGGAGACTTATTCAGGGACCTACTTCCTACAGAAAGAGGAATCCCGAGGGGTTGTATGTCCTAGAAAGTTTCCTGGCTTGTGTGATCAGAGGGTAAAGACATAATTGATCAGAAAGGGTGAATACTGAACCTGAGGGAATGACAGGGGAACGGAAGGACTATTGGGAAGGGCCCAAAATAACCAGATTTCACTGGGGTCAGTTTGAGGGGATCCCCACATACCCAGATGAGAGCCGCTTGTGGAGCATTGTGGACAAGTACAAGGTGACCAAGTTCTACACAGCACCAACAGCAATCCGGATGCTCATGAAGTTTGGAGATGACCCTGTCACCAAGTGAGACCCCTCCCCATCTGCTGTCCCATAGGTATCCTTCAGAGCTGCACTGTCCTGTGTGTAGTTTCTTTCTGTTGTCTCAATGTCCTGACCTGGAATAAGGGAGGGGGCAAAGGAACGCTGAATGCATGTGTATTTTGGCTCCCAGTGGTACTCAGAACTTTCTTCTCTTCCACTTTCCTGCCCAAGGCATAGTCGGGCATCCTTGCAGGTGCTGGGCACAGTAGGTGAACCCATCAACCCTGAAGCCTGGCTATGGTACCACCGGGTAGTAGGTTCCCAGCGTTGCCCCATTGTGGACACCTTCTGGCAAACAGAAACAGTGAGTGAGGGATTGAGGAGGTTATGGCTTAGGGACGACATAGGAAAACTGACTCAAACCCCTCATCTCTGACTTCCACAGGGTGGCCATATGCTGACCCCTCTCCCCGGAGCCACACCCATGAAACCTGGTTCTGCTGTGAGTAAAGTGCTTCTGCTGGTCCTAGGCTTGGCAAGGGATAGGCTTTAGGACTTTGGGCCTATTAGAGAGTAAGGTGCAGAGCTGAGAGCTATGAGGAACTTGGGGCTCTGGGGCTCATTGGAAACTGAGTCAGAGTTGCTTCATTCCTCTTCTTGGATTGTGCCTCTCATTTGCTTTTAGTCTTTCCCATTCTTCGGTGTAGCACCTGCAATCCTGAATGAGTCTGGGGAAGAGCTGGAAGGTGAAGCTGAAGGTTATCTGGTGAGAATCTGGGATTTTAAAGGGTCTGCTAATGATCTTCGTTTTAGAGTTTATAACCTTATCATTATAAATAGTTGAGAGTTTGTCCTCTGCTGAAAGACACCAGTGGAAATCCATCCAAATACTCTGCCTGCATCTTAAAGCCTTTTTAGAGTATGTTCCCAGGCTTGTGATGATGCTTTTGGAGTCAGGAAGGCTTAGTCCCAGTTCTTCCTTAGATACCCATTTCTAGATTAAGGAGTCTTGGTAGCATAAAGAACAACCATTCGGGCTCTGGAGTCAGCCTGCCTGTATCCAGACCCTGACTTTGCCTCCTCTGTGACTTTAGACAAGTTGTCACCTAATGCCTTTGAATGTAATCTTCTCATTTGCAAAACTGGGTTATAATATGTATAAATAATGGTACTTTACCTCCAGTGTTTTATTGAATTAGATAATCCACACAAAGGGTTAGCCTGGAACTGAGAAGTCAGTGCTCATAGATGTTAGCTGATGCATTTTTTGTGTAGTACCCATCAGATCCCATCCCATTTCACTTTCCCAAGATCAAGTTAGGAACAGAGGCAGGACTCAAATCTAAGCTTTCTTACTTAATCTAGAATTCTGCTGACACAGAATACTATTGATTGGAAATTACTTACTCACTCTTATAGGTTCTATTTTTATATGACTTTTTTGCCTTTTAATGGGACCTGCTTTCCTGAGGAATTACCCAAAAGAAACCCCAATTTTCCAGATGTTTATTACTCACAGAACACTGTGCTAGGCAATTTTCACATACTATTAATTTAACCCTTATAATAACTTTAGAGTATATTTACTTTTATTTGCAGATGACGGTCCTGAAGTTCAGAGAAGCAAAGTTACCTACCTGAGGCCATATAGAATTGGGATTCTAAGCCCAGCTCACCTATCCCCAAACCCTATACTTTGCACTACTTCTCAGGGATGGCATTTGGGGTATTTTCCTTCACGCTTAGCAATGCTGTAGTTGTCTTCCTGTGTGATAGCCTAGAGGATGTGATCACTGTATCTTCTGCATTCCTCAGGTGTTCAAGCAACCCTGGCCAGGGATCATGCGCACAGTTTATGGGAACCACACACGTTTTGAGACCACCTACTTTAAGAAGTTCCCTGGCTACTATGTGACAGGAGATGGTGAGCCTTGGCTGTCCTGCCCCCAGCCCTCTCTTCAAAACATATACCTTTACTTTCCATTTTCAGAAGAGTTGGCCGGGGGTGAAGCGTAGAGGAAGGAGTATGTCCTGAGGTCCACATCTGGCACCCAGGAGAGCTACAGTAAGGCTGTGAGGGCAGGGCACTTGTTGAGTGGCTAAGAGTACTTGCTGCTCTTCCAGAGGACCTGAGTTTGGTTCCCAGCACCCATGCCTGGTGGCTGACAACCACTTGTAACTCCAGCTCTAGGGGACCCAATGCCCTCTTCTGTCCTTGGTGGACACCCACACAAGTGGACATACTCAAACAGAGATACACACACATATATAAATAATAAAGAATAATTTTTTAAAAAGAGAGGAATGAGTGCTGCAGAAAGTCTCATACCATCTGAGATTAGATCCTAGGGAAAACAGGCTCTTATTTTTCACTTTAGTGTTGACAAAGATGGGCATGTAGAAATGGATATTACTGTGTCACATTTGCCCTCATGTCTGGAGCCTGCTTGTCCACTGTCTGTCTTCCAGTTCATCCATCCATCAGTATTTATTGAGTGCCTACTTTGACCAGGTACTGATCTAATGAGCACATGGTGTGTTACTGTGAATAACATTGTCATATTCTCTTATCTTATGGGGCTCACATTTTACTAAGGAGAGGACAGACAATAAACCAATTTTATTGGTTACAGGTTAGTCATAGGTAGAGATAAGTGCTATGAAGAAAAGAATGAGATAGCGCCTCCAAGGGTGGTCAGAGAAGGCTTCTCTGAGTGATACTTGAACAGAGGCCTGAGGGCTGAAAAGCGATCAAGCATAGAAAATCTACAGTAAGGGTATTGTAAAGAGGGGCTACAACCTGGAAATTCACAAGGAATGGACTGGAGCCGTGAAGCTGGAGTGAAGTAAGCCTAGGGAAGACTGTTTCATTAAGTCAGAATATAGGTAAGAGATAATATAGAGTCATGTAGGCGGGGTAAGCAGTCTAGATTTTATTCAAAGTACAGTGGTAGAGCTGGGATATGGCTCAATTTGTAGAATGCTTGCCTAAGCATGCACAAAATTCTGGTTTCTGTTCCTAGCACCACATTAAACAGAGCACAGTGCAATCTCAGTACTTGGGAGGCAGAAGCAGAATTAGGAATTCAGGACCAACTTTGATACATAGTGAATTTGAGGCCTGCCTGGGGTACATAAGACCCTGTCTGAAAAGGAGAGAGCCGGTGGAGATATAGCTCAGTAGTAGCATATACGCCTAGCATACCTGAAGTGTTAGGTTTAGTCCTCAGTAACACACACACACACACACACACACACACACACACACACACACACACACACACACAATGGCGGATGGGGGGCAGCTAATTTGGAAAATAATTTTGAATGTTCTAAAAATATACTTGAGATTGAGTATATTATTTATTGCCATGGAACAAATTATGCCCTAAGATGGCAGCTTCAAATAACACATTTCACATAGTTCTTGAGGATCAGGATCTGGGAATGTCTTGGTTGGGTGGTTCTCAGTCAGGGTGTCTCATGGGTTAGAATCAAGCTGTTAGTGGGGGCTGTAGTCATTGAAAAGTTTGAGCCTAAGGGCCTGTTTACATGCTGGCTCATATGGATTTGGGCAGGAATCCTCAGGCAGTTGTAAGCCACCATGGGTACTGGGAACAAGGGTGCATGGGTGCTTGGTCCTCTGGAAGAACAGAAAGTTTAGGCAGGATCACTCACATGGCACCTGTATATACCCAGAACACATGATCTGAGAGAATATGACCAAGATGGAAGCTAAAGTGTCTTTAGTAAGCTAATCTCAGAAGTGACATCTATTGTTTCTGCCAAATTCTGCTGATCACATAGACTAATGCTATATAACAAGAAAGGGCTGTAGGGCTATAAATACTAAGAGATGAAGATCAATGGGGCCATCTTGAAAGCTGGTTGCCAAGGCAACAAAAGTGGAATCAGGAAAGATTACCATAAGCTACTGTAGTAGGCGTGGTAGTTTTTATAATATAAATTGTGTATCCTGCTGTAGGGTATTTACTATGTTGAATATTTCTTCCCAGGCTGCCGGCGGGATCATGATGGCTACTACTGGATCACTGGCAGGATTGATGATATGCTCAATGTATCTGGTGAGAGGCCTGTATCCCCTCCCATTTCATTAGTTCTTTCCCCCTTGTAAATCCTAGCAAAAACTTCAAAGAGCGAGCAAGGACCATCCTATTTTGAGGCTGTGGCATAGAGTATGGCATTCAGTCCTGGGCCCAGGTTTTGGAGGAAAAGTATAATGCATGTTAGAACATGCCAGGAGAGGATCTAGGACGGTCAAGACATGACTGGAGATGAGCCATGGGAAGAGAGAGTGAAAGCCTTCCCTATCTGACCAGAATAGGTCAGCCCTGTGGGTGCAGATGGAGCAAGAGCTGGGGCAGGAAGGCTGAGATCCCTCTCATGCATTTCCCTTTTCTTGACAAGGACATCTTCTGAGTACAGCAGAGGTGGAATCAGCACTTGTGGAGCATGAGGCTGTTGCAGAGGCAGCTGTGGTGGGCCACCCTCATCCTGTGAAGGGTGAATGCCTCTACTGCTTTGTCACCCTGTGTGATGGCCACACCTTCAGCCCCACCCTCACCGAGGAACTCAAGAAGCAGAGTAAGGAGCTTCCTGGGACGGGAACTGAAGGATCTGCAAGTTACTGGGGAGAGGCTGCAGCCGACTACAGATTCCAGTGTCGTGTGGGGCGACTGGTGTCTTCCCACTTAGTCTCCACTAGTCTCTACACTGGGACGGTAACCGCCAAGAGTTTCAGGGAACTCTCCCTGTGTCAGCACCAGGATCAGCGCTTTATTGCTTTATCCCATTTAATTCCTGTAATTACCTTCACGAGATAGATCCTGTTGTTATGCTAGTTGTAAAGATGAAGAAACTTCAGGTACAGAGAAGTTACACTGCTTGCTCAAGGCTGTGCTGCCAGGTGTGATTTAAACTCTAACAGGCTGATTCTAGAGACAGAGTCCCATGGGCATGGATTAAAATAAAACAAAGAAGTAAAGAGACACTGTGTTAATAGAGAACAGGGAGCGGTCAACTTCAGAATGGCTCTAGGCAGAACTCTGAAGAAGAAACAGCTGGGGAAACAAAGTCATGGCTTTAGAAAGTCTGGTTAACGGCACTAAAGAAATGCTTGATGATTTGTTGTTACAGTTAGAGAAAAGATTGGCCCCATTGCCACACCAGACTACATCCAGAATGCACCCGGCTTGCCTAAAACACGCTCAGGTAAGTTCAGAGTCCTGCAGGGATTGGGACAGGCTAAAGCCCAGGGGTGGCAGGTATGTGGATGAAAGTCCTTAAAAGAGCGGGGATCAGTCAGCACTGTTACTAAGTAACAAGAGGTATGTGGGTTACCAGGCAAAATCATGAGGCGAGTACTCCGGAAGATTGCTCAGAATGACCATGACCTGGGGGACACGTCTACAGTGGCTGACCCATCCGTCATCAGTCATCTCTTCAGTCACCGCTGCCTGACCACCCAGTGATCAAGACTCTTGTCCAGGATTTCCCTGTGCGTGGCTCTCCGAACTTCTGCCCATCCACCCTGCCCCCTGCCCAGGAATACAAGAGCCAATGCTGATTGACACTTTGGTTGAAACTAGGGAGCGTTTCCTAGACTGCCAGGTAGAAGAGACAGGGCACAGGTCAACTTCAGACTGATATGCTCCTAGACTCCGGAGGTCTCCAAGCCCAGAACAGAGACTTAACACTACATCCTCAACCACAGTTAGCTAGTCTGAGTGTAAGTGAGGGCCTAGACAGAAGCAGGGCAGTAATCCTTTCAGCTTTCTGGAAAGCACCAATTCTTATCTTGGGCAAGCCCAAGCCTTTAGAAATGACAGTTTGTGAGTCTATGAATAATTATTTTTTTAAATTCTTCGTTGTTTCTGTTCTGAATCTGAATTCCTTGCCAGATGGTAGCACTGTCTGCCTGTTTGCTCTAGAGACTGCAGGTGGGTTCAGTCTCCAGACTCTAGAGGGTTTTCATAGCATCTGCTTCATTGAAAGAGTAAGATACGCTCTGTTCCTAGAACCAAGGGAGTTAACAACGTTCCTAGTCCTGCCCCATGAACAGAACCCTGCCCACAAGGGGCACTCTTAGGTGAAACTCTTCTTGTACTTTTTGTGCTCAAGACTCACTGTTGTAGGAATAAAGTTTATGGGCTCAAGAAGAGAATTGGTTTTTTTAGGTATCTGTGTGTTTATTAGCTGCTCTGATGTATGTGGTAGTTGGGAAGAGCATTGCTAGTCCCCAGACTCCCCCAGAACCCTTTGTTTGGGCAGAACCAGGCAAAGCTTCACTCTCAAGACCTCTGACAAGCCCCTAAGCAAGAGTGATTAAAGCCAGTTTACAACTACGATGTCACATCTGGTGCTTCTTCCTGGGACCCTGTCTTGACCCTACAATCCTCTGGAAGCATTAGCAAGTGACTAAGGATTAGGACTCGAGGGTCTCATCCACAGGATCTGAAACCAGTGAGATCCCCCGTACACCCAGTCACCTTTCCAGCCTATCTACCTCCCATGGGCTGCCCTCCTCCCTTTGGTACATGAAACAATGAATTGTTGAATCAGCATCGTTGCTTTATTGAGGGCAGAGCTGGGGAAAGTCTATGCTGTTCTAGCCCCTTCCTCCTGTCACTTAGTCCTACCCCAAGTCAGGCACTAGAACCCCTGGAAAGGTTCATGAGAGGGTAATGAAGATCTGCAGGGCTACGGCCTTTACCTCGAGCAGCTTCCCCCACACTCCAAGATCTGGGGACCTCCAGCACTCTTCTAATGGAATCATAGCTTTTCTGGTCCTCAGATGGAAGGCTGAGAGAAGGTACCCAGGATTTTCCCTTCCCTGAAGACCCTGGAGGTCTATGGAAGAGACAAGCTTCCCTAAGGTGGGGACTGGAGTAGCCCCTCAGGAATTAGGAGAGGAAGGCCAAGTACAGGGTAGAAGGTCTTGAGTGAAGTCAGGTGCGCCCTCACACAGGGTAGGGGTTGTCCAGGACTGCGACTCCCGCTGCCACACCTCCGTCTGCATGTTCAATGGCTTTGGTTCGAAGCAGATGCCCCACATGCTTGTTCATCACAAGTGTTGTTCCCTGTCTGTAGAAATGGGGTCAGGAGACACACATTAGGAAGCTAGGCCCTTCTCTGGTCCCACCTGACTGACTGGTAGATTGGAAGGGACGACATTTAAGAAATGCTAGGACTTTAGATTCAGATCGGGAGTTGCATCCTAGCTTGGAAATGATAAGCCCTGAAGCTTCCTAAAAATGTCCTTAATTTAAAATTGAGAAATACCTCTTCTATTACAAGATGGTCATATGGATTAAATAAAGCAAGAAAAGCATATAGCATGATTCAGGTGTACATTCATGTCCTGGGGTATGCATTTCCTGTTACTCAAGGTGCCTGTGGTGAGTCGGTGTAGCGAGAGAGAGTAGCAGGCAAAATGCCGCAAGTGCTTAGAGGGGAAGTCTGTTGTGAGGGGAGGCTGTGGCAGAGGGCATGGCAGATCTTCGCCTTGCCCTGACCTTGAAATATTTTGCAGGAAGTTGCATTAGAGCCTTCTTCTTTACCAATTCCAAAGTCCTCCTCTTTTCTTTTTTCTTCCTTTCTCTCTTTCTTCTTTCTTTATTTGCAATAGGGTCTAACTATGTAGCCTTGGCGGTCCAGGAACTCACTGGCCTCTAACTCATAGATATCTGCCTGTCTCTGCCTCCTAAGTTCTGGGACAAAAGGTATACACTACCATGCCCGCTTTCTTCTTGATTCTTACTTTTCAAATCCAAATCCAGAAGCCTCCTCAGTATTTCAAAGCCACTGAATACCCTCCTCTCTCTCATCTTTCCCTGGAATTCCTATGGTTTTAGAGCTGGACCCAAACTTTCATATTCCCTGGAATCTCCTATTCCTTCTTCCAACCATCTTTTCTCAGTTCTCCTCACACCACGAAGGATGTCTTTAACAGCTGTAAAGCATGTCTTTTCCGGGATTCACTTGTTAGCTCTGTGGGCTGGGCAAGTCTTGGGTCCTTACTTAACAGACAAGGAAACAGGTAAGAAAACTAGGAACTGGCAGAGCTGAGACTGCAGCCCAGGACTCATGGCTCTATTCAAGGTTCCTTCTAGGCTTTCTTGGCTGGCACTCTTGTAGGGAAGTAGTAGAAAGAGCTGCTCCTGACTGGCTTACCTGACATAGACTCCAAAAATGCCCAGTTCTGAGATGCACTGGACCACTCGGGCAGGGCTGCCAGGCCGTAGCAGGCAGCTCCCAAAAGGCTTGGGTTCAATCTTCTCCATGAGGATGTAGGAGGCCCTCTCCTCGCTGTCCTTCAGCTGCTCCAGCGCTTGCACCATTTCTTCCCCATACAGGTTATTACCTGCAATTAAAGCGGCCAGTCACACAGAGCATATCTGCTTCTGAGAAGCAAAGGTCACCTTAACAAGAAAGCCCTTAGACAAGTGAACACACCTGCCACCACACTGTTCTGCCTGCTCTGCCCCATTTATGGACATTTCTCCTCAGCCATCTTACTGTTTCCTTAAGTGTTGGGGTTCTCTGGGCCTGGGGAGATGGCTCAGCCTGTAAAGTGTTTGTTATGCATGCACAAAGACCTGAATTCTGATCCCCAGCACCCACGTTAAGCTAGGTGTGGGTGTGTGTATCCATAACACACTCTCCTTGTGCTGGGGAAGTGGAAGGTGGAGACAGGTAGATCCCCAGAGCTTGCTGGCTAGTCGCTAGTCTAGTTAGTTGGTGAGTTCCAGGTTCATTGACAGACTATCTAAAAAAAGTGGAGGGCATTAGAGGAAGAAGACACTGGATACTAACCTCTGGCATCCACATGTATGCACATATGTGAACATGCACACACATGTGCACGCATACATACATACACAAAGATGTTGAGGTTCTCTAGGAATTCTCTACCCTTGCTCTGTTCTCTATGTACTTTTGTTCCTAAGGTTTCATCTGCACTGTATAAGTTAACTCCCAAATCTTTAATTCATGCTCTTTGTTCTAGAAATCAGAAGCATGCAAACTCCGCACATCCAAATGGAAATGTGTTGCTGCTAGAACTTGCTTCTCCTGAATCTTCCTACTGCTAATGAAATGAAAGGCATCCCTGAGTCCTATTTAAGTTCACTCTCCCTGTTACCTATGTTACTAAATCAGAAATGCCTCCACCTGTGTTCTATATTGTTATAACCCTAGCCTGGACCTCTCCATGGGTCTTCTTGACAATGGTATCAGCCTTCTTCCACGATCTCTGTCACAAATATCTCCTCTCAGTCCAATAAAGCTATAAAGGCTGAAGCACCAGCTTTACAAGCTTTCATCACTGCTAAGTTCCTGGATAGTTCATGTGCCCTTTCTCTGCTTGAAACTTGAATGGCTTCCTTCCTCAGTTATGATACAATATAGTTTATAACATACATTTGTGTCTATCTGTGTGTGTTATGCATATACATGTGGAAGCAGAGGCCAATATTGAGGATCTTCTTCAGTGGCTCTCTACCTTATCTCTTGAGCAGGGTCTCTCACAGAACCTGGAGCCCACCATTTCAGCTAGACTGGCTAGCCAGTGAGCCTCCAGGATCTGCCTTTCTCTGCCCTCTACCCCCACGTCCTAGGGGTAGAGATGCTTGCCATCATGCTTGGCTTTAATGTGGGGGTAGGGATCCAGTGCTTGCACAGTAAGAACTTTATTAACTGAGCCATTTCCCCAATCCCAAATTTTCTGAAATATTTTCAGTGCTCTTTGTTTGTTTGTTTTTTGTTTTTTGTTTTCAAGACAGGGTTTCTCTTTGGAGCCTAACCAGGAACTCGCTCTGTAGACCAGGCTGGCCTTGAACTCACAGAGATCCGCCTGCCTCTGCCTCCCGAGTGCTGGGATTAAAGGTGTGCGCCACCACCGCCGTCCAGCTTCAGTGCTCTTTTATAATATTCCCAGCCCATATTCCTGCCATCTCCAACCCTAGCCTCACCAGTTTCTCATTAACCTCTAGTCCAGTCCATGTGGTCATGGCCCACGGCTTTTGCTTAAATGGCCTTCAGTTTAGAATGATCTTTCTCCTTTTCTACCTGGAAAACTCCAACCTAGCCCTTAAGACCCAAGTGGAAAATCAAGTCTGTACAGCAGACATGATCCCTGCCCTCAGGGAGTTTCACAGTAATACAGCCAGGTACCCCCTTAGGCCTCCTAGTGTGCACCATCTGTTTCTCTGTAATCTACCCACAGGCACCTCAAACTACAGTTGTCCAAATTCTCCAGTCTTGTTCATCCAATCCCCTTGCACTCCCAGTTCCAGGGTGCTGGGAGATGCTCCATGCTGGGATCTGTGTTGCTTTCTCTTGTAACCACTAAGCCTGGGACTGTATCCACACCTCGAGTGCCAATCAGCACTGGCAATAGCCTGCAGCCCTTCACTGGGCAGCTCTGCAAAGGAGATCTGCCTACCTCCACCCTCTCGCTGGGGCTTCAGCACAAAGTGGCTAGGAGCAGCGAGGGCTTCAGCAATGGCCCGGTCCCCTTCTTCACCCTGACAGGAGGCAGAAGGTGGTCACTAGAATGCAGGCTAACAAGACAGCCGAGGTTCTGCTGCGCATGCACAGTGGCATGGCGGGGTGGGGTGGGGTGGGGGTGGAGGGGCACACACAGCGGGGGGGGATCATCGTAAATGCCATCAGACTAGACACTCCATTCTGGAGGTGACCCCTAACTCCCTTGCAGCACTAGACATAGAACAGGCTCTTTAGGACTCTGCAGAAAGCCTGGAGAGTGGGTACAGATGCTCCCTAATTCTCCCCACTCTCCTTAGCCATTTCCCTGGGTTTCCTTTCCATCATTGCTGAGGGAATGGGTTTTAGTCCCCAGATTCTGGCCTCAAGGGTTCTCCAGAGCACCAAGGATGTGAGTCATAATGCCAACCATAATGCCAGCTGCACTGTACCCTCCCCAACACATTTGGGTCCAGGTTTCTGCTATGTGGCCTATGGCAGGAAAACACACTACATACCATGTCCAGTGAATAGAGGCCAGCAAAGGTGGCCCGGAGGCGGGCCACAGCCTCAGGCTGGCCTGGGAGCAGCATTTCCAGCAGGCCCGGCCTGCTCAGTTCCTGCTGCACCTTCTTAGTCCCAGCCAGCTGTGTGGCAATGTCTGGACACTTGGCAGCACATGATCTCTCTAGCAGTAGGCGTGCTTCCCAGTTCTGCAGAGGTAATAAAAACCAAAGGGCCTTTACTTTACTGGATAGGTGCCAGACACTGTGCCTTTTAATCTTCAAGCTGATTATCGTTACGACATCCTTGTGAGGCAGATATGGCCTCTCAGTCTGCGGGATTCTTGCCTTTAGGG